ATAGATATGAATGCATTTCAAAGGCGAAAATGTTTATAAAACCATTTTATGAAATGCATCTAAAAGAATCCATGGAAATCGATATAACAGTTAAAACAAATTTTTTAAATAACACTTTGAAATCGTCAAACAGCTCAGCTGACAATACCATAAAAATATTTTAGCAATCGTCAACGCCACCTATTGCAAATAATATTACTTTACTGAACAACAAAAGACGTAAGTCAATCAACTTAATTGAACTATTAACAGATAAATTTTGGTTGTAATTTAATTGAGAGCAATGATAAACTTGAAAAAGAAATAAATGATTACAGTCTGCAATACTTTCAGGGCTACAAAAACAGTGCGATTGAATTTTTCCAAGGTAATCAAAAACTGTTCCCGGTTTTGACACAAATTGCACGGATAATATTTTTATTTCCAGCGACATCCGTGCCATCAGAATGCTTACTTAGTTTAACCGGTTTTATAGATACGATTTTATCTTTTCCTAACTTGACGAAAATCTTTATGAACAAAAAAATTATTAAAAGAAAGTCTATTGTTAATTTACTAGGAGTGAATATAGATGAAAATATATCATAGAAATATCATATTAAATTTATTGAAAATAAAATCTCCAAAAATACTTCAATGCTATATAAAGTTAAAACTTTTCTTAATACGGAGTCTTTGAAAATTATATATTTTTCATTTAAAGAGAGTTGGGGCAAAGTGGGTCGGATTTCTTTTTTTTTTAATTTGAGTGAAAATTAAAATATATATTTTATCTTTGTCAAGACTAAAGGATTGAGAAATATGTCCTTCATGATAAGAAATCATTTTGACCTAAATACTTATTATCTAAGAGCTCACAGAAAAGTTTAAAGTGAGTTGTGTTAAGTGATTCACTGTACCCCAGTACTGGGGTACATTGAAACAATTAACACATCTGCAATTTAGTGGTAGTTAATGGGGGCGTAGCCAAATAATTTTGAGGATGTAATTACATTTTACACTCTACTTTTAACGCACTTTTAATAATTAAAATTAAATAATTTAAATTTTTTCTGATTAAAAAAATAAAGAATAAATTTTATTGATAACAAAACTTATTCAACTATCTAAAATCACAAAAAAAATTTTTACTTAATAAAACTTATTTAACCAACAACAAAATAAATTTTTAAAAGTGAATTTTTAATTTTTTATAAACATTTTAATTTTTATAAACATTTTTTTCACATTGAATCAACCGATTCACGGTACCCCGATTCACCATAAAAAATAAGGTTCAAGTTTAATTTCTTGGGACATGAGTGTTATTAAAGGAAAAGCCAAACTACTAAAATATAGCATAAATATCAGTATTCCGAATATAAAACTTTAACTTGTAAAATGTTTTTAACCATGATCTCCACAACAAATATAAAGATGGTAAGAACATTTACTTTAGTTAGCTAAAAACATAAATTACCTACCAAAAACCGAGAGTCAAAAATTATATGGTAACACCTATAAATAAAGATGGGTGATATATGCGCACATAAACTGATTACATCATCGTGATGAATAAAATCATAACCGTTGAGAAAATGCCTCTTATTCACTGTGCCCCTCAATCCACTGTACCCCAACTTCCCCTATTCATAGTTATCTTTCCTATTGTAATCTTGCATGGGGAAGTACCAATTATGGGAAGCTCAAAAAAATTTATAGGAAACAAAAACATTCATGCAGGATTATATTTGGCGTTAACAGAGCTGTTAATAATGAATCTCTTTTAAAGAAACTTAATGTGCTTAATGTTTATAAACTTAATATATACCAAGTTATGGTTTTTACGTTTAAATCAAAACATGCGTTATCTCCTAATATATTTCACTCTTACTTTGCAGAAATATCTCATTAATACCCATCTGATAATTTTGTAATTCCTAGAGCTTATTTAAAACTCAACTCATTTCAAATTCAATACCGTAGACCATTCAAATGGAAAAGTTTTTTAAAAAACATTATTAAAGATAAAATTCTTCTGAGAACAATTCTTAGAACATCTCCTTAAAACAATTCAAAAGAGAATCTAAACGTTTTCTATTAGAAAAAAACTTCAATATTTATTTTAACATTTCTTTTAAAAGTTCCTAAAATAATTAAATCGAAAAAGTCATCACTACTCATTTATTGTTGTCTTGATGTGTATCTTATTTATTTCTCATTAAAATAAAATATATATACTATTAATTTTAAACAAACAAACAAAACAAAAAAACAAAAAAAATTTTTACGATTTATTACTTGAGTTTTATATGTGTAGAACTAATATTGTATTTTATTTTTAACTTTATAATTTTTAACTTGTAACTTTGTGACATCAATGTAAACGGGGCTTGGCGATAAGACATTTTATGCCTTATTCTTGCTCCGGCCATTTTTTATATATGTATGATCTACCTCATTGTAAATTTTATTATACGGCAAAAAAAAAGATAATAATTGGAAAAAAAAAAAAAAAAGAAACTAGTTAAGTTTTTAAAATGTTATGAATCATGGTGCCTCATTAAATATATTCTTTGCCCTCTAAAACAGATTCATTACATACTGAACATGCTGGCGCCGAAATAAAATTTACCAAAATAGTATTCTTTTGCGAAACATATAAATATATACAAGGCCGGCGCGATAGGGGGGTGCAGGGTTGTGAACCCCTCCCCCCATTAATGATTTTTAGTCGGCATATTGGACCCTTTTAGACTAGTTAGTCGGCAAATGTCGACCCTTTTGATATAGGTTAGTCGGTAATCTAGACAGTCGGCAAATGTCGTCATGGCAGTCAGCAAATTTTGGAAAACGAGGACCTTTTTTTGTTTTTTTTTGTTTTTTAGTCAGCAAAAGTTGTAATGGCACCCCCACGTGACACCTACTTGGGCCGGCCTTATAAAAACAACGTCGAATTAACGCTATAAATTTTAAAAGCATAACTTATAAATATTTTAATACCTTAAGTTTTATTTGCATAATAATACTGAATAACCGGGATTGTAATTAATTTACCATGGGTTTCGGCAGGTAAACCTTTTATAATATATATATATATATATATATATATATTATATATATATATATATATATATATATATATATATATATATATGTATACATATATGTATATATATATATATATATATATATATATATATATATATATATATATATATATATATGTATGTATATATATATATATCTATATATATCTATATATATATCTATATATATATATATCTATATATATATCTATATATATATCTATATATATATATATATATATATATATATATATATATATATATATATATATATATATATATATATATATATATATATATATATATATATATATATCTATATCTATATATATATATATATATATATATATATATATATTATATATATATATATATATATAATATATATATATATATATATATCTATATCTATATATATATATATATATATATATATATATATATATATATATATATATATATATATATATATATATATATATATATATATATATATATATATATATATATATATATATATATATATATATATATATATATATTATAAAAGGTTTACCTGCCGAAACCCATGGTAAATTAATTACACTCCCGGTTATTCAGTATTATTATGCAAATAAAACTTAAGGTATTAAAATATTTATAAGTTATGCTTTTAAAATTTATAGCGTTAATGCGACGTTGTTTTTTTTTGAATAAATTCAACTTTGTAAAAAAGAATTTTTTTTCCGAAATAAATTAAACTTTTCGATAATTTCATTTTCGAAATTAATTTAGCATATCAAGTATCTTTTGGTTTTTTTTTTAAATTTAATTGCACACTTGAAAATTTTTTTTTTTTCCAAAATTAATTTGACTTTTCAAAATACACTTTTTTTTTTCGAAGTTAATTTGACTTTTCGAAACTCTTTTTTTTCTTTCGAAATTAATTTCACTTTTCGAAGTACACTTTTTTTTTCGAAATTAATTTCAAAATTCTTTTTTTCTTTTCGAAATAAATTTCCCTTTTCGAAATCCACCTTTTTATTTAGAAATTAATTGCAAATATCAAAATTTTTTTTTTCTTTCGAAATTAATTTCCTATTTTGAAATCCACCTTTTTATTTCGAAATTAATTTCACATTTCTAATTTACTTTTTTTTTTTTTCGAAATTAACATGGCTAGTTCGATTATTTTCGAAAGTTTTTTTAGATTTTGAAAAAAAGAAGTATTTCGATAACGTTTTAATCGAAAGTTTTCGAAAATTGCAATTTCGATAATGAACCCTAATATATGCAGTCCTTTTTTTAAAAACAACTTTGTTTAACTTTTTTGTTAATTGTTTCTTTTTCAACTTCAAATTCTTTTATCAGACTTCATTTTGTAACCTTAATTTTTAACTTAAAAAATATTTGGGTCACCGTGACTCTACTTTACTTGTTATTTTTTTTCTGAGTAGGCCTACTTATTTTTAACCTATATTTTAATTTATTTTTTACAATCGCGATTAAAGCTTACTTACTTACTTAGTTTAATCCTGAACATTTCTTAACTTTTTAAGCTTTCTTTCTTCTGAACTTTTTTCTTTCTGAACATTCTTTCTTTCTAGACTTTCTAAACATACACCCTAGGTCTAGCGACCTTGGTTTTCACGGGACTATACAACATATAGCATATAAACATTGAATGATATGAAATGTAAATGAGCGCTTGAGGTGAAGTTCGAACTATGGCGATTTTAACTTAGTGCGGAAGTATTATGCACTAAGCCACGTCGACGTAGTGTATTTTCTTGTTTTGAAATTATTTAAAATGTCATTTAGCACTTTTCGCAGAGTTATTTTTTATTTGCTGAGCTTTTTTTTGAGTTTTTTTAACTTTTAATCCTTGTTATCCAAAATTCATGTGAATAATCCTTGCCATGTGAACTAATGATCTGCTTTGAATACCTTTTGACGGAGGTTATTGTTTGAAGAGAATAAAGTTTTTTATATAAATACAGCACAAATCAGATACAGCCAAAATTAGAAACAACTTTTACTTTGATTGAAATTTTCATAAAAATGAAAAAAAAAAGCTAGTTGGGGAAGTTATTCGAAAAGTGATTGTGATTGAAGATGATGAGGGGAAAAAAGAAATTATTGTTAACGAATTGGAATTTTTACTATATGATATTTATAGACCGGATGTTATTGAAAAACGATGGGAGACAGATGAAATTCATTTTATCCTATTGATTTGTAAAGAGGTTACAAACGATCATGAATTTGTAAGTTTATTTTAATATAAATAGTTTCTTTTTTTGTAACTATTTATATAAAAACGTTTTTCTTTATTTTAGATCAGCATATGGAAAACATTTAAAAACATAAACGTTTTAAAAAAAAGAATTCGTAAGTTAAATCGTTTACGAAAGAAGAAACGTTAATTTTTTTTTTGTATAGTTTTATAAATTTTGAAAATATATTTACAATATTATTTTTCTCTATGCATTCTTCGGTACGCATAATTCTCACCTGTTACGCGCCATCTTTTAACTCTTTTACTAGCTCGTCCCAATTTTCGATTTGAAGCGTCATTCTTATACGATTTATTTGTTTTGATTTGACAACAAAATACTTTTTTAAAATCGTTCGGAAGCAGTGGTTCATGATCCGTTTGAGTAGGAATTATTCTTTTTGAAGCAATATTTTTTGTTCTTGGCGTAAATCATTTTTGCGCCATTTTTTTTAACAAAATGAAGTTTTCAAATAACTTTTTTTAAATAACCATTTTTTATATTGCAATTTTTTATAACATAAAAAAACTATTTATATAAAAAGTAACTGTATATTATGACATGTTTTTAGTATTGTTTTCTAGAAAACTAACGTAATAAAAATGTGTAAATCAGACATAAGAAAAATAATTAAAAATGATTTACAGCCTTTCTGGAGAACATTAGCTGAATATTTAGGCTTTTGTTCATATGAAGTTGCCTGCCTTGATCATGGTTATACTCGTTTATACGATAACTTATCGCAAGTACTGGTTTTGTTTTTTCATCGACATCCTTACGATAAAGACAGTGTAAAACTTTTATTACAACATTTAAAGACGTGGATAACGGCTGAAGAAAATAAAATAATACAAAACTGCGAAATCAAATTATTGATTAATATTTTGAACAGAATTTTATTAGAATATAAAAAATATATGTTTCACTTGTTGTTATGTTTTTTTTTAATTGCAATAATGTATTAGAGTTTTATTTGTTTTTATAATGCATTTTTTAGAAACAATGATTTACAACAAAATAGATAAAGCAGTAGAAAAACTGAGGGCTGAACTACGGATGTTAATTTGTTTACAAAAAATTCTAGCTGATTTGTTTACACGTACACAAAATTAACAGAATATATGAGCGTGTCAGAAATTCTATTCCTTGATCTAAAAATAAAAAAATATAACATTAATAAAATTGTAGAGAAAGAAAGAGAAAACTATTTATTATATCTATATAAAAACTTTCGTTATTTTTTTTTAGCTAAATAAAATAAATATTCCAAGCCCTCAAAACTTGAAATTGTTTAAAAAGGAAAAGAAGAAGAGAAAAAAGAATCTAAAACAGGAAAGAAAAAAAAATGAGACAACGAAAAAAAGTGTTAAAAAATTAACAGATGAAAAGCCGAGCTACGAAAATCAATACATCAACCCAAATATGGTGTTTAACATAATGTCAGGTCAGGTTTATCCTGGTACTGGTAAAATGTAACCCAGTACAATCTGCTTCATGTCCTGCTGCCTTGTAGGATATGCCTTTTTAGGCAAAGGCTAGGAGATGCAAACTCCGACATAAAACACCTCCTGCCTTGGGGCTCTTGGTTAAGTAAAGGCTAGAGATAGTGTCTCGATAAAAATACTCATCTTGGGCAGATGTTAAATACATCCGGCTGCTGTCTTGTAGAAGGCCTCCTAAGCAAATACTAAAGGGGTAAACAGATTCTATCTGTTAACCAGCCTCGCACCCCTTCTTCATCAATTAGGCTGGCACAGATGTATTTTTAATACATTGTTTCCAGTTTAGGATGTTGAACGCTGGATCTTCTTGACTCGATTCAAGGGTTTTGCTTGTGTTTTTATGACTAGGCAACTCATTCTATTATCTCCAAATGAGGGTACAGCTCTAAAACTCAGTTTTATGGTTCTGAGGCCGGCTAGTAGTCAGGTTTCTCGAACTCTGTGTTAGCTCTCAGAAAGGCTGATTCCATCAACAGCTGAAAAATATCAGAGTACTAACAGTGTCATGTTGCGCATGGATGGTGTCCCTGTTTGTACTTTTGGTGTGCATTGCCAAGGCCACATTGGAGCCCTTTGTTACGGCTTAGGGTTTATTAGTGGAAATGAGGCAATTGCTTGAGCTATAAAACAGTGTACTGAGTACTATCTATGTTTCGAGTCAAGTTCTTTAACAAATTTAAAAATGAATAAAGTAACAAAAACTATATAAACACAAAAAACCACAGTCATCACCAAGTTCGCTAAACCTATCATTCACCAATATTTGTGATCTTCGAAGTAACTTTTCTTCTGTTGAGTTTTATCTCTTGCAAAGTTCACCAGACCTACTTGCTCTTTGTGAGACTAATTTGAGTTCAGCTGTCTCATCTTGTGATCTTAGTGTTGATGGTTATCTTCCTTTAATACGTAAAGACTCCAATAGTCACATGCTTGGCCTGAGAATTTACATTCGTAAGAACTCACCCATTTGTCGGGAAACTAGGTTTGAATCCACAGACTACTCTTTTATGTGCTTTCGTTTAGCACCACTTCACTCTATCGCCTTTCTCTTTGTTCTATATCGCTCTCCCTCATCTCAAGACTGCACTCATCTTGATGTTATTTCTGATTATATTGACCAAGCCCCCATTCTTTATCCATCAGCCAATATTGTTGTTGTCGGTGACTTCAATGTTCATCACACTGAATGGCTTGGCTATAGTGTCAGTGACTCTGCAGGCATTAAGGCCACAACTTTTGTCTTTCTCAACCCCTAACTCAAATAGTCAACTTTCCAACTCACTTTCCAGACAACCCGAATTGTTTACCTTCTCTACTCGACTTATGTCTTGTTTCTGATCCTAGTCAGTGCTCAGTTTCTTCACACTCACCCTTAGGTGCTTCTGATCATGGTTTGGTCTCTCTAATACTATTATCTCATTCTTCTTTACCATCAGAATTCCCTTATCATCATACATTTTACAACTACCTTAAAGCTGACTGGGACTCTTTCCGTGATTTTCTTCGTGATGGCCCCTAGGTAGAAATCTTTCGTCTTCCTGTTGACAAATGTGCTTCTACCATAACTTCGTGGATACAGGCTGGCATAGAATCCTTTATTCCCTTTCGACGATTCCAGGTCAAGCCTCACTCTTCTCCATGGTTTTCCTCACATTGTGCTGCTGCAATTGCTAATCGAAACCATTACTTCCATATCTATCAGCAAAATAATTCTCCAGAAAAATTACGTCTGTTTATTACTGCTAGGAACCATTGTAAAAAGGTTTTGTTTAACGCCAAAGCCCGCTATTCTCAGATCATGAAATCTCGTATTTCATCACAAAATTAGGCTCTCGTGACTTCTGGAGAATCTTTAATAGTATCAATAATAAGGGCAAGTCTGTAATTCCACCTCTTTTGTATGGTTCAGACTTTGTCACCTCACCTAAAGACAAAGCTGAATTGTTTGCCAAGAACTTTTCATCAATATCATCTCTTGATGCCACTAGTTGCGTTCTACCTGATATAGCCGTCAAACAAGTTGATCCATTGCTCGACATTCGTATCACTCCAGCTTCTGTATCTAAAGTGATTTCTAGCTTAGACTCTTCTGCAGCTTTCGGCCCGGACAACATACCTGTTATAGTCTTGCAGAAGTGTTCTCCGGAGCTGTCGTCTATCCTTTCAAAACTATTTAACAAGTGCTTATCAGAGTCTTGTTTTCCAGCCTGCTGGAAAGCAGCATCTGTTATCCCTATTTTTAAAAATTCTGGAAAGCGATCTGATTCGTCTAACTACCGTCCGATTAGTCTTCTACCTATCATAAGCAAGGTTTTTGAACCTTTAATTAACAAACACTTAATCTCTCATCTCGAATCTCATAACCTACTTTCTGATCATCAATATGGATTTCGATCTTCTCGTTCTACGGCTGATTTGCTATCAGTAATAACCGATAGGTTTTATCGCGCATCAGATAAAGGTGGGGAGGTTAAGGCCCTTGCTCTTGACATTTCTAAAGCGTTTGATAAAGTTTGGCATGCTGGTCTCCTCCATAAGCTTTCTTCTTACGGTGTATCTGGAAACATCTTTAAGATTATTGAATCCTTTCTTTCCAATCGTAGTATAAAAGTTGTCCTTGATGGACAGCAATCTTCTTATTCTGTAACCTCAGGGGTTTCCCAAGATTTAATCCTTGGCTCTATACTCTTTTTAATTTACATTAACGATCTTCCAGATATTCTCACATCTAAGGTGGCATTGTTCGCTGATGATACTACCATTTATTCTTGTCACGATAAGAAGCTAACTCCCTCTGATTGCTTGCAGGGGGCATCTAAGCTTGAAAAGGATCTCACTTCTGCTACAGCATGGGGCTCACAGTGGCTGGTGAACTTTAACTCAGATAAAACTCAATTTTTTTTGGCCAATCATTATTGCAATAATTTAGATCTTCCTATATTTATGAATGGTAATGTACTCGATGAGTCATCTACCCTTCATCTTCTAGGATTAACTCTTACTTCTGATCTTTTTTGGAAACCTTATATCAAATCCGTTGCAAAATTAGCATCTGCTAAAGTTGCTTCTCTTTATCTAGCTCTTTTTTACTCTGGATTCTATTCTCTATCTCTATAAATCTCAAATCCGTCCTTGTAAGGAATACTGTTGCCATATCTGGGCGGATCTTCTCATGATTTTCTCTTTTAGACAAGATGCAAAAACGAATTGTAAACATAGTTGGACCTGCTCTTGCAGCCAACCTTCAACCTCTGTCACATCGTCGTTATGTTACTTCTCTTTCTCTTTTCTACAAATACTATAATGGTCACTGCTCTAAAGAGCTAGCGTCTCTTGCGCCATCTACTAAAATTCATTCTCGTGTTACTCGTCATTCAATTAAGTCTCATCCTTTTTCTGTTACTGTTCCTAAGTGCTTCAAAAACTCTTATTCGTCTAGTTTTTTTCCTCGAACATCAGTTGTTTGGAATTCGCTTCCTTTATCTTTCTTTCCTGATTCATACAATTTGCAA